CCTTAAATGACAATTGATCTATTTATCATCAATAAAAGCTCTGATAAGCAAGTCTCATTTAACCTATCTCAGGAATTCCTTTAAGATTGCTACATCCTTTAAGTTCTCTACCATGGTCTTTCCTCTGACTACTTTTATTGAACCACAATGAGCCAGTCCTTACACAGGTGGAAAAGTGAATTAACTGCTTCAATGAAATGCAAAGTATAGTAGTCTTTAAGTGCATTTGCTAGCTAGCTGTGAAAACAGTATTTTCATCATCTTACTCTAGTATTTTGTGAAATCTAACTACAGGTATTCAGTTAAAACCAATGCCAGCAATGAAGCAGGCTAACATTCAAACCACAACATGAAAATTGTTTTAGTGGAACACTTTTATAACTTGATTTACTCTACTGTAGTTTCTAATAAATGTTAGATTCAATCACTCCCTTGTAGAACTTCGATGTACAATAGTCACGCTACATAAAACCTTAAGACCTAATACGTATAGCACAATTAAATTTAAAACAACAGGGAGATCAGGAATAATTTTCCCAAGAGCACTACATAGCAGAGAAATAAAATGGGCCATTTACCATTACACATCTACTCTCTATTAAGACAGCTCTTGGAATTTCCTGCAGGGAAGACTACTTATTTTACAATTCTAGTGGATAAATTTGCTAAGAACATTTATTTTCTCTAGTTGTTAAAACTAATTTCCTCATGCCTATTTACAGACACACATTTTAGAAAAGCTAATCAAAGTGAAATAAAACTACTGAGGAGTCCAAATGATTTAAGGTGGACCGTTCTGCTAACTTAAAAGATTTATTTTTGCATTATGTAGTCAGGCTTCCAAATAGTACCCACTGTCTTCTGCAGACAAAATACCAAATCTTGGAGGTGCAAAAGACTCAGATGCCTCAGTAGAGGATACCTCAAAATATTTGTCCCAATGAGCCTCATCACTTTCAGGCTACTATGGAAACTTCTCCCAACACCATATAAGGCTTTACCGAATAACCCAATCAAGTTCTTGTGCTTCCTCTGTTTGACAGGACAGCAGATATAATTTTTTGGGCATGTGATCTTAATATTTCATATAATCTGTAGAAATCTACAGGTGTGTCTGGATATAAATTTGTTCAAGTCTTTGTTTTGTTACCTTGACAGTAAACTTGTTACAATTCTACAAAAATCAATGGATGGGATTGGCTTTCCATGTGCCTAGGCACTTGACACAAAGATGCTGAAGCATAGCTGTGCAGGCTTATATGCATGGTTAAATGTAGTTACTGAGAAGGAATGACTGAAATATTTGCTACTTGTGTGGAATTAGTCATGAAAACCATGCTTTGCAAAATAGGTATGAAGATGTAATGAGTCTATTATGAATGGCTCAGTCTCTATAGCCTCACTGACAATTTTGTTCTCATTCTTCTGTATATTTTTTTCTTCTCTATCTAACTCCATTCCCAGTTAGAAATATTCATAGCCTCCCAAGCCTATGCTTCAGATAGCTCCTATGCATTCACTTCCTGCAATGACAATAAGCAAGTAAATGAGTCACAGTACAAACTACACCCTAGTCTTCATATGTTTTCCTAAGAATAACCCAGTGGGACAGGATCCCTAACATCCTTTTCACACTTGCAACAAATTGCCTTTCAGAAAAATCTCTGCCCACTTGGTCACAGGAAATGTCGACCTCTTGGTAAAATAGTCTGCAATAAGCTTTTCTGAAAAGCTGATAGTAGGGACCTATCCTGAAGGCCTGGCTAGGGACCAGGAAGAGGTTAGTAGTGCTCCCAGCTTGTACTAGCAGCGGTTCAACCAAATAAACACAGTGGTCCCTGCTGACTGCCATCACTTTCAGAAGAAAAAAAATAAGACATTGGACTAAGACATATTCCTGATGTAGAACATAGGAAAATAAAACTTTTTTTTTGGCTAAAGAAAGCCTGGACAACATACCTCTGGGTGTATACCGATATTTTTATGCATTGAAGGTCTCGTAACTCCCTTAGTTTGATGGAAAGAGCAATGATAATTTCAATACTGAATATTTTACAAGCAGTGTTCCAATACTCCCCTTTGAGTTGCACAAGGGTACATATAACACTAACATGAAGAATACCATATTAAAGCCAGTACTATTCACATCCAGTTACACACACACAGAGGTATGATAACAGCAACGTATGTACCTCTTCTTATTTTAAAAAGAGGCTTGAGATTTGTATTGCAAAATATACTCAGAAACATTCTATGAAGAAAGAAACTTTTAGGAAGAATTAACGTTACAAAATATTTTTCTTCTCTCTTCTCCAAAATATACTACATACCACATCATTGCAATTTATCTATTTACAGATTTTCTTAGTTTTACACACCAATAATTTAGCATATGAGCTTTTCAAAAAACTAAAGACATAGGTTTATGAGGGGCTGCTTTCCACAATGCAGATAATGCAGCACTGAACTCATTAATGTTCTGTTAATTAGAAAGAGCCATGAATATTAGACCTAAATTTTTGACCCAGACTAATATTTGTTTTAAATAAACTAGCTATCTATATTAAATAAGAAAGCACCATGAGCCAAGATCAGTACTCCTATTGACTTGTATATGCCCAAACATACAGAAGTTGTCATGCATCTCACACAGCAAGTATGATTCACTTGGTACCGATGAAGTATTAGGTATCCAAGACGTCAGACTCTAGAATAGTTAAGGAGAACAACATTTTCTTCAAGTGAATTTATTCTAGAACTACTGCTATTTTTTTTTCACTGAACAAGATTAAATTGACCCAAATCATTTGAATTCTTGATTCAGCCTGACTCATGTTATGTTGTGCAATATTCCGTTACATCCCATCTGGCATGATTTAACAGCGCATGGCACAACAGAGTGAAATCAATTAAATGTATACTTCAGATAAATGCTATTAAATTAGTTTGTAAAGGCAGGCCAACAGGTAACAAGCAATGTAGACTGGCAAGAAAATAAAATGAGTTATATCATACCTCCTCTGCTTCCCAAACATGCTTTGCTTTCTACCTAAAAGGAAATTGGCACTCTGACAAAAAACTTACTAGGCACTGAGAAGTTCTGCACCAGCACTGTGTATGGAATGTGCTCTGAAGCACCTTCTGCTTATCAAGTCCAGATATGTTCATAGTATATAACAAAATAAACGTACAATTACTAGAACAGATTATTAATCAACAGCAACCTGAAATATGAAAATTCTGCTTCAATCTAATTCCTGGAAACATTTATTTTATGCTCATTTTAAATGGTAAATACATGCCTAGCCCATAAACTTGTAATCAACATCTGGTTAGTAGATAGGAACACAAGTCAATTCTCATCTCATTGTGCTAATTTTCTCAACTTTTTTTTTTTTAAGTCCCTGGAAGTGCTGCAAGTCAATCAAGTCAATCCCACTCACGGGTATGCAAAACATATTAAGAGAAGATGAGATCTCATCAGTTCTATGTTTTGCCTGTGTATCAAAATGTTGCATGCACAAGCTCATCTCAAAACCTTTCAAAATTGCTGGGAACATTTAAGTGCAAGTCTTGCATGCCACAAAAACTATGCACATTACAACTACATTTATAAGCAAAGCCCAGCATGCCTCTTGCAGATGTGAAGCAGTACAAGCAAAACAATCTCCCTGTGCACATTTTAAATTAAAGACCAAAAATTGGAAAGAAGTCCCCATAGCCAAAAATGTATGGTCTCTACAATTTTAGCTGTACTTGGTGCCAAAATCATAATAAGTTAAAATTAATTCAAAAAAATCTTGTCATTGATCATGATACAGAAATATTAAAATTATTCCCTCCCCCCCTTCATTCTATTGAAATTACTTATGTCACCTTGCTGGGATGTGGTCAACTCCCAAATTCTAGTTTTTAGATGTTTCCGATGTTTAAAACTTTGTTCATAAAAGTCTTTTCCACAAACAATATTTTCTCGGTCCTCATTATAGTATCAGCATGACCCCAGGCTCACCACAACTGTATCACCTGTTAGAATGCAAATAGGATTCACTTTTTCTCATCTCATTATTTTAACTAGCAATGCCTATTTCTCAAGGTATCGTTGCTTCACTTTGAACTTTCCTGCCGAAGTCAGCCTCTGCAATGTTGTCTGCTCCTCCCACAAGTGGTCCTGAAATCTTATACAGGCAGTTACCATTTCCTCCTTCAGAAGCCTTCTGAAAAAATGCCCCTGTAATGTGTCAAGAATAAATATGTAAACAGTTGATAACTGGGGGGAGATTTAACTGGGAAGAAAGTTTATATTAGTTTGACCAGATATCAGAGACTGTAGAGAAAAAAAAGAAATGTATAAAACTATAAACATTTGGAATATTGAAACGATTTTAAGAACAAATTTCATAAAAGCTATTAGACCATGGAGTCCAGATCTCTGCTGTGACAGGAAAGTTTGTGATAGAATAACAACAATCACCTGTGAAGCCCTTTTGAGCCCATTACTATTGCTGAAAGCCAGAACATTCTTCTGCAGCATACTTTGTGTTGCTTAACTGATTGGGTTGCAAGATCCTAGCTTCAGACAGTTGTTTGACACCACTGGAACTACTTAGTGGACTTCTTCCACTACTTCTCCTTAGTTTGGGGAAATTCATGTGTACACTTAAATTTGCACAGACTAAACACACTAGAATGAGGTACCTAAGGGTGGGCAGGCTATCAAGGCTACAATACGACTATATACATATATATATATATATACACACACATATATATATACATATATCACTACATCTCAATATTAATAATTTATGTAATATGAACTATGGGTACATATAACAATACTTGTTAAAATTAATTCAGACATTTTTTTAAATGGAAGAAGAGAGGCAAAAAGGTACATTTTTTTTTTTCCTAGAAGTCCAATTCACGTAATATTACTCTTATTAAAACCAAAAATTTATTAGAAGTAATTAAGGTAATTATCCTTTCTACAACTGAATTAAAAAACTGAAAAACAAAACAGGAGCACATACAACCAAGTAACAGACTAAAAACAGGAAGGCTAAAAAAAATTTAGATATAGTACTTCATTACAAACACTTCTCAAATATTTTTGTCTCCTGGTACTACATTAGTAGTATCTATCCATGATAACATATCTTAGATTAAATTGGCATCCTAATGCTAAGCATAAATGCATTTTGATATTAATATCCGTTTGACTTGCTTCCAAACGAAAAACAGTTTTAACATTAGGAAGTTTCAGTGAAAATAATTTAAGCAGGTCAAAAGAATTTTTCTAACATTTCTATCACAAAATTCTCATTAAAAAATTAAGACTGACTGTAGATAAGCAATTTAAAGTAGCATCTAAAAATTACAGCACCATCGATCCCCTTAAAGACTTGTATTGTCTGAACTATTAATCTGTTAGTCGTAAACACAGGGAAACATTCACAAAGATTACGGCAATAGGTATACTGTGCACTTTTCCATTACCAAGTCCAAACTAAATTTTATTCATTTGTTAGTATACAAAAGACATTTGTAACCTTTAATAGGAGACAAAACAAGAACTAATTTATTTTGGAATTTAACAAAATCCTTGTATTTCCAAAAAGTGGTTCTTTCTGAAATAGTGCATTACTGAGACATATATTTAATACAAAACAATTCACAAGAGGAAAATTGAAGTCTCCCATTTCTCATTTGCTATGCATCAATCCTCCTTGAAATATGGATGAACTCAGAACTAAATCCTATTTTTTTTCTTACAAACACGAAGTAAAAGATTTTTTGATGTCCTTGATTTAACACCCAATGCTACGTTTCCTTCTGAAAAGCTTCTAACTAGGTGTGTTGGTACATCCTGTTCTTGCTTCAAGCTCCTTGTTTTAATTCCTAGTAAAGAAAGAAATGTTATTAGAAATATGAAACTCATTCAGTAAACATAAGCAGAATTTGGCTTAGCAGGATCTACTTTTCAGAGCATGTCTAAGAGTTTTTACATATATTTCTTGTCCCTATTGAAAGCCTACATTTTTGTATATCAAAATTAATCACTCTCAGCTCAGTAATCCAGTATGCTAATTTCCTAGAAAGTTCAGTGATTAGAATCTCAATTGGCACAAGATGCTATTAAAAAGACACAGTGGTCTATATAAAAATGTAGAAATATATTTATATAATAAAGAGGATTGCTAGAATTTAACAGTATTGAAAAATGAACACTATATCATTAGAGAAAGTTTCGTCTATTTAATCTGAAAGCAGCTCTTCGTTTTGAGGATTTGGTCATATTTCATTCTGCTGTAATGCATGTTTTTAACTGAATGTAAAATACATTTTATTTTCAAACTTTGAAGAATCAAAAAACCCTATTCTCTATATTCAGAATGTGGTGCTTTATTACATAGTTTTTTAATAATACCAGAGTTGTGACTGATAACCCAGTCTTTAGTAGTAGAAATTGATACCTATGTAACTGTATGCACTTTGCCAAATAAGTAATGATCGGTTAGACAATGCTTAGCCTCAGATTTACACGTTTCAGAAAGTTTTTTGTAATAGAACCCTAACATTTCTTATGAATGAAGAATAATACCTATTCGTATGTACTTGTGCCCTCACATCAGTTCTTACATAAAAACATGTTTGTGCTGTAAAACTGGCATATTGCCTATGCTACTGCAAAAAGCTACGTGATTGGACTATTTCCTAACAGCAGACTAAAACTTCAAATAATCTTTGATCTCAGCTGAACCGCCCAAGAAACTGGACTAAGAAAGATCAATAAGTGTATTTCCAAAGTCAGAGAAGAAAAGGAGACATGTGGGTAGTATTATTATCAGCAATACGTTAGAAGCAAAATAATTACTAAGTATTGCTTTAAAATAATTTTTCCTCAGCTATTGTGTTGGCCCAAAATAGTCCCAAAGTTTAAGTAATAAATTTCTGAAAAAAACCCATCTCTGCAAAGACAGATCCGTGCAGTGTTACAAACCAAAGCAAGCAGTTAAAAACAGGTATGGAAATGATTAGAGGATTTTATTTCTTGACAAATCACACTTGGTAAAAATAAAATTGGTAATAAAATTCACCAAACTTCTCAACAAGTACACAAACAGTTTTTGGTGGAAGACCTTAACTCTTAGGAAAAGGTTTTCCCAATAAGGCTGTACTAATACTGAGTGTTGATTAGATCCCATCTTGATAACTGATTAAACACTCTGATTTATTTATTTATTTTTTTACTGAATGGATATACTGTTCAAACAGATGGGTTGGTGGACTGATCAGAGAAACGCACGCTGTTAGAAGTGACAAAACCTTGAATATCAAACTTAATTTTGAACCTCCTGTACACACACAGTTACCAATGCATTATCATACATTTAAGTTTTGACACTTACCTGCCATACTGGGTACTCGCAAAGCTCTATGGCTTAACAAGACCTCTTGTCGAATGCGTTTTGCAGAAACAGGGTCTTGCAGGCTGCCTAATGCAGTATTTGATGTAGAACTTGAAAAATATCCAGAAAAGAGTTAGCTTTCACTAAAGCAATTAAGCTACATTACTGTAGTTTAGGTCTTGCAATGTAGAAATACGTTAAATTATGTTATCTAGTATTAGTAGCTCATAACAATGTAAAGAATAAACTAATGTATTTATGATGTATATATGGATATTATTCTCCTTTTTCCTTTTTAAAAATTTAAAAGAAAGCTTGAACTGTGAAATTAAGAACTAGTATTGCCACTTATGTTAAAATGTGACCAATATGCCACATTTTTTAGGAAGCCACAGAAGTCAGTTTGATGGTCATTGCACACAAATTATACTAAGAAATAATCTTAATGCACGTACAAAATCCTTGAAATGACCAAGCTGTCTTTATTGAACAAATTGTATTTTCTTATTGCTATAATAATTTTTCTACAGCCTCCAACAGTTGGAGGGGGTGGCTTCACAGCAGACAATACTTTTTAGGTAACCTGCAAAAAGGCTATTCCAGCTTCAGATTCATTAAAGACAAAACCTCTATATTTTACAGACTTTTATGTGATGGACTTTAGATCTACAGTGAAAATTATGGACCTATCTGAGCTCATCCCTTTACACTTGCCTTGGTGACTTCCCTGGTTCCAGTCTGTAAGACAGCCTCATAAACAAGTTAATTCTATTTATGTCCCAAGTTTCCATACTTTTCCCATTCCTCTAATGATATTAAATTCTTTCTACTTTATAGTCCCTTAACTTATACTTGTTTCCCTAATAATAACTTTCCATCTAAATGAAAATATATAGCAATTAGTAAGGAGTAAGACGTGCCTTGTGCCAGTCCTAAGATCTATTCATACGTGCTTCTTAGAAAGAGAACTTTTGCCAATAAGAACGTAACGTTATTTAGTAAAGGCAGCCTCTGTATTATGAGTGACTTGTCTCTTATCCCTTGTCCTAGCAATACAACTGTTTCAAATTATTTTTCTAACGTAGAGAGTATGTCTGAAATTCATGTTTTTATTCTAATGTTAGTAGGAGATGAATGACTGGAGTGAACTACTTCAAACAAGGAAAGCATGGTAGAGCGAAGGGGGAAAAAGAAGAGAAAAGAAAGTACATGCTATCTGAAAAGCAACAGCATATTCCTTTCCTTCATCACAAATAAGATGATGTAATTCCTTGTCTTTATCACCAACTATTAGACAAAGCCATAAAGAGTTTTGGTTTGCAGACAGTTTACAGTCTGAGACAGCAGAAATAATTCCCCCAAAATGAATAAAAGTTATGGGATTTTACTGTAGTGTTATTCTAACTTGGGAACTAGGATATACGTGTTTGAGACACAGAAGGAACAAAAATGAAAGAATAGAAAGAGCTAGTCTTTGGGGAAGAGATAAGCATATATAAGTTTGGAATCATTACACAGTTACTACAAAAATACTACTCCTAAAGTTTGTCTTAGAACATTTACCTTAAAATATATCACGCTCCAAAAGTTACCATACCTCTCCCTAAGGAGAATCTAGAAAACTAGCTCAGTTTCATAGAGCAGGTGATTTATTTTGCTAAAATCATAATCAGCTACTTGAAAAATTGAAAATATGAGTCTCTCTTCTCATCCTAGAGCAATATAGTTTATTCCTCCTCCTAAAGCAATCCTAGAAAAACAGTTCATAACAATAATCAATAACAATTAGAATAGGAACATTAAATTGGTTTGGTTAAATCTGTGATCTTCTAGGAAGGTTTTCTATCTTAAAGATGCTAATAAACCAAAAAAGTGCTTAAGTTTATTCCCTGTCCTGTGATCCATCTATAGAGCTTATTCCAACAGTCTTGAAACATTCTTTAGAAGACCTACAACGTGGCAGTTCTACTCACTGTCTAGCTATAGATGACTCATGACTTTAAAAAGGTTGTAACAATTTTTACTTTTGGAAAAAGAAAAAAAAAAAGAGCTATTTCATCAGTGCTGATCTGATAGCTAATCCTTAAATACATTAATGAAAACAAACAAAAAAGTACAGTTCCATTGAATGTCTATTCAGTTTTAGCTTTTCTGCTGCTCCTACTAAGAAGCCTCTTTCAGGGTCATAAAACAGAAGTGATGAAATGGGAATTATTCCCAGAGCAGATCACAAAAATGAACTCATAATAACTGAGTCTGGAAATGAATTATCAGAAAAACAGAGGCATTGGCTGCATAAGTATTGTTAAGCATTTTCTCCACTTTTTATTTTGTTAGTTTCTAATGTGTTCCAGCAAAGGCATAACATTTTCAAACAAATTAGATTTTTAATTGATGATGGAATTCCTCTTTTCAGAATTATGTGTCATCTTTCTATTTTGAGTTGACAGCAGATATGGAAGACAGGGTATTAGTTCATACTTGTTAAAACAACAGAAGGTCCTAAACCAAGAGTAAAAAAAGATTCTACGCAACTTGTCAGGAAAAAACCCCATAAATTGAATTGTCAAACATATTTGAGTCAGAACATCTCATATGTAGGTCCAGATGACTTGTATAAGAGGTTTTCAGATTTGAAATATAATACTGAAACTGAATTGAAAACATAAGAAATGAATACAAACTCATTTGTATAGAAGAGTTAGTTAAACCTTACCTTAATACCTTTCTTTTTCTCTCAGCAGCAGAAGTCATTGCCATATATGAGGGCTTCTCAAGTACTGAAGTAGGATTTTTGGTTTTTAAGGAAGTGAGACCAAATCTGAAATAAAATAATTATATTCTTGTAAAACTTATTCTGGGTAGAAGTCAAGTGAAATTGTTCTTAATTGTAAATAAATATATGTTAAGTTGAAAAATAATACTGGAAATTTGTTTCAATAATATTACTCAAGGCAGCTCTACAGGACTTCACAAATACATGGCAGCTTTAAAAATGGCATCTCTAAGTGCCAAAGATGTTAAGGTGTCCATTTTAAAGACAGAAAAAATAAGGCTTAGAGTAAGTAACTTGACTAAAGCATCACAAACAATTTCAAAAATTTTCTTTTCAGTACATATCCTGTAAAACAAGATAATCTTTCAACTTCATTTGTTGTTGCTAACATACCATTGATTTCAAATAATAACAGAATTGAATCTGATGCTGATTAAAACCGAGGGTTTGATTTTCAAAATGTTGGGTTTGCAAATAAAGTTGAGATCAGTAGAAAAACCCATGTGAGGATGAACAGGACTAATTTCTTTGGGTAATATTCCTTGCCCATATAAACGGAGAATACCTTTGCAGGATGCTGCTGTTGCATGTCTGTGACTCCTTCATGGGTGAGTCAGTAGATGTTTCAGTTGTTTTACCTGTGTCTTCATACAGAATTACTGTTGAGTTCATGTCAGCTTCATCGCACTCTGGGATTATGTCACAGGTAGAGTTCATAATACTTGTCTTTTTCACTGGCATATCTATATTACATGCATTAGCTTTCTGAAGGCTTGCAAGCTGTAAAGCTTTCTTGACCACAGTCTCTGTACAGCAGTTTTGTACTGGCTTTCTGCAGTATTCTGGCGTGTACACAATAGGGCGGACCTCCTTGGTAAGAGAATCCTCCAGATGAGAGAGACTGGAGTACTTGGATGCAGCAGGACTTTGAGCTGTGACTGGAGAGTCCATTAGTTTCCGCCTAGTTCTTTTCTGTGGTGGTACTGCATATTCTACTGTTTGTTGCGTATTTTTATTAATTTCTTCTGATGGTGTACCAAAAGTTGTACCTGTGCAACATAGGCAACAATGATTAGCACATTTACCTATCTTTACCACTTAAATATTATTTTTTCCCACCTCTTCCATGATGAAATATGTTTATTAGTAAATATTTATTCACACCTTAATTTGACTATATAACTGAAATTATTTCAATTGCAGTATTGTCCAGATGGTAGCATTTGTTCTGTGGCACTCAAAGTATTATAAATATGCATAGGCTGGTATAGTTAATCCCAGAGATATTATAAGTAATCACAAGTACGATATGACACATGACAACAGGGAATGAAAGAGTATCGAAAATGATTGCATTATCATGACAAACTCTTAATTTAGTTTAAAATGGTATTATCACAGTAATCTACATCTGACTCCTGATCCCAGCCATTGTTTCCCCTAGCATGTACCATGCAGTAGAATGAGAGAGACTGTTGTAAAAGGAAAGACACTGAATCACTTAATGGGGCAAAATTCTTTGACATTGCAAATGAGAAAGTAGTGTTTTAGAAAAGGGGAAAGAAAGAAGTTACTTGGATCCCATCATCTCAATATATCAACTCTGGAAAGAAAGCTCTTTACTAAAAATACCACCTGCGAAAATAACAAAGCAAGCAATGCAGCAGTAATTGGCCATTCCCATTTATTCCAATTGACACTATTTTTCTTGAAGTGTCATAACATTTTTATTTTCAAGCAGGTGGTAATAAATGCAATCTCCAAAGTAAGAGAGAAAAGGACTCTCTTAAAGCTTTCAGTAAAGGAGAATAATATCAAGACACAGTCTGATGTTCATTTGAATAGCTAGGCTTGTGGTGACTTCAGTAGTTAGTAAAAAAAATTAAGGAGTTGTTTGCTTTGTACTTTTTTTTTTTTTTTTTTTGTTAAACAAATCAAGAGGAGAGGGCTGTCAAAACCTCAAGTGCTTTTATATTTAAATTTAAGTGAAAATTTTTTAAAAATTCAGGTAGCCTACTATCCTTAAAATGTCTACAGGTTGGTCCCACTTCAGCTGGTAGCCACAGCATCATAATTCCCTTTCCTACATTGCCTACTCCATTCCTATAAGCAACTAAACTGTAAAAAGAGCTCCTGATTTTTAAATTGCTGCAAGTTACTTGGAAATTAACTATGTATTCATATAAAAATGTTGATAAATATTTCTTCTAAAATTCCATTCTATTTTTGCCTCAGAATAATCAAGTTAGTTTGAACTCCTCAGTCCTTTTAGCTATTCCATAAAAGTTCTTTGAAGAGAAGGAAAATTGATTAAAAATATGTATTGTGTTATTCTCCCCCCCATTGATTTTTTACAAAAAGCAAAGCTTAAATGATTGTATTATTTTCTCTATTTACCACTTCTCAGTCACCATTTAATTTTGACCTCGTTGCCCAGTTGCACCCCAACTTGCCACAGGTGAGACTTTAAGAATGCTCATTCCCCAAGTACCCTCAGAAATCAGAAATCTTAGGGAAAGGGCCCAGGTAAGAGCCTCATTGAAGGAGAGTCAAAGGGTGATCTCAGCACCAGTTTTCTGTCCACACTTTAGAACTAGACATACCATATGATGGATTCCTCATGCCCAGCTACAGAAGATGATGCCCAATTAGAAGATACATATTAGAGCTGTGAGGAGACAGGAAAGGATTTAAAGACTACCATGAGACCTAGACCTGTTCTGAGAGGATAAAATGGGTAGTATCCAAGTCTGTACAAGTAGCAAGTAAATTATAAGGCAATATATAGGCCACAAATCTATTCTATGTTGCCAGAACTTAATTCGATAATGAAACCATTAACAAAACAAAGCAAACATTTATTCCTCACTCGAGGGCTCAGTTTCAGGAAGAACATTGTTTAAACTATGATGGTTCAACAAATATGAATCATCTTATCCAACAATGCATAAACAATCAAAGCAGGTTATAATTTAAACTAAACTGTTTATGGGAAAAGATGCCTGGACTATTATGTGAACAACTACAACACTATAATGCTGTTTTCAGCTTTGAAGAAACATAGAAAACCCAGGCCTGAGAGGACTACTTAACCTGAAATAACTGAATCGTGAATTTGTGTGTGCATATGACCGTGTACACTTCACTTCACTGTATAAATGTAAAGTTTTGGGTTTTTACTTTTTTTTTTTTTTGGTGTTGTTAAAATGCAAAAGGTATTATTTTTCTCATACTTAATCTTACTCTAATTTGTGATCAGCATTCACCAGGTAAAGTGCAGCAGGTTGCTGAGACACAGTAGCCTGATTGTAATCTAAACATTAAGCTAAAATCAGAATATTGTCCCTGAGCAGTGAAAGGGAAAGTGAAGTAAAACAGGGTCTGTGTGTCCCCTGAATGATTTTCACTTCCAACATGAATAATATAAGTCTACTTCAGTGAAGACACTTTTCTCGAAGATATGGTATGATTTTGTGGGTAACAAGGAACAAACTTATTTATGGACCATTGTCAGTATGGAGTCTGTGACACTATCAACAATGCTATGCTTCATTAACGTGAATGCTCTTTAACTTTGGTTTCATGAGTACAACGTTATTTTTTTTTTATGTAAAAGACTAACATTTTCTTCTTTCAAAGAAAATATTTTCTAGTCATCAGAATCAAAAATCGAGACCAAAACTTTCTTTTAAAGATTTTTTTTTTTTGACAGCTTATATTCTTAAATACAAGAATAAGCTTTATCTAAGGATTCCAGTCTAATGTTTGAAATAACTACCTACTAAACATTTCAGGACATGTTTTAAATTATTAATTTATTAGATTTTCCTCCTTCTTATATCTGAAAGTGTGTGTTTCGGGAAAAATAATGGTGAGAATTTTATTTGTCTGTTACATTAGGGCAGGGAGGTTCCAGTTTCAGAAAGTTTGCTTACTGTAAGATGCTGAGGTTTTGCTAATGTCCTAAAGTTAATAGGAAGGAAGTCTGATGGAGAAACATTTTGGTGAGAGTGCCAAGTTTTAGAAGCTTCTCCAGGACTAAATACTGGAAGCATTTTAAAATTAACTGTAAATGCAAGCATTTAAACCATGAACTAAATAGGTAAAGAACACAAAAGTATTGCCATCATTAATAATTTGTTGAATTTCATCATAATGAACAGTATTTCATACTGTAATAAGTACATTAATAAAAAGACAGTTGCAGCAATTCTATATAGGACAAATATAAGCAGTTAGTAAAAACCCAGACCTATTTTTAAAATCTATTTATTTCTGGAGTAAAACTCATCGCAAAAGAAAGTTAAAACAAAACTAGCTTTTCTTGCCAGTTAAGTATTGGAAAGCATATAAAATATTCAAGAAGTGTCCCTTCTCAAAGCCTCTTGTGAAAGCATTAAGTTGCTCCTAACACAGTAAACTACCAAGTAAACAAAAATATCACCAGAACCATCATATTTAACTTAGTTTCACTAAATGACATGAACCAAATATGTGACAAAAAAAACAACCCCAAAACCACAATTCCATGACGGATTGCTGTATACAGCTCCAGTTATGACCTAAAGTAAACAAATACATCAAGAAAAACATCTAAACCCTCAAAATAAAAGACTACCAATGTTTTTATTTCTGTCTTAAGAAGGAAGCAAGATACTGGAGCCAGTTAATTTTATGCAGGTGCTCTTAATAGCTGCCATTGGGCATTTTAAATACAATGGGCTCAGACAAGAATAGATGCTACAAACCCACTAAACTTATAGATTTCATATGACTTCAAACAGTCACATCATCAAAAGTATTTCTCCATAAAAAAAAAAAATCATTCTTTATTTCTTTTTGTGAGAACCTATTTTCAAACACTTCAAAACTACTTAGTATTATTAAAAACACTGATATTCAGAGGCATACTTTACAATTTACATGTATAAAGATCTGTACTGAAAGAAACTTTAATAGCACTAGCTGACACAAAAGTAATATGCCTCAAACTGAAACACCATACCATGCCACGCCTTTCCTAAATATTAAGTTAATACAATTTTAGCATAACTTTTTCTAAACAAGAACCAAATATTTCAGCAAACAATTTTAGAAAATGCAGTCATCTGTCACTATGTGGGTTATATTGCAACAGGACAGCTAGAACTAGTGAAAACTAGTTCCCCTAAATTCTGTTCAAGAAAGGAAAACAAAAACGCTCCAGAACAAAGGACTTAAAGTTTTAAGTGGCAAGCATGAACTTCCAGTATTAAAGCAACACAGAGGGGACATTCATTTCAAAGCAGGTCATGCCTACTAAAATCAAAGTGTTTGTATGACAATTTCAGTCAATGCTTTCTCTCAGGATACTCAATTTTAACATGATATTATCGAGTGTTTGTAGGTGGGATGTATGTATATGTATGTATATAGCACATGCTTTATATTATTCCAATGAATAAACGCAGAAAATTGAGACAAAGTACATTTCTAGTTAGGAATTGAGATAGTATATAATATGTCAGTAAAATACCACAGATGAAGCTAATAAGGTGTTATTTTTTTTTTCTTACAGTAACAAACAGTAGATAACCCATTCATGTCACAAACTAATTTTAACTCTAAGAGCCATACTTACCTCCCACAGAACAACTACACTGTTGAACTCACTGTAGCATGCTGTGGCAAATCCCATAAGTATAAATAGGTTACAAAATACAGATTTAACAAACTAAAAAAATATCTACTGGTAATTATTACATACGATTGGTTCAGTGGGATTTCCCAGTGCATTGGAACTGGAACCTGGAAGTCAGCTGACTCTAGCTTTGTCCTGTTATCACTGTCTTAGGAGTGTGTTACTGGGAACTACTAAATACAGGGTACTGAAGATGCCATAGTGGTGGATCAAGTATGGCTATTCATATTTTCTTAAAGAAAAATTTAAACATTTCCAGAATTGATGCCTAATGCTAAACATGAAGCACTGTCGTTACTTTTCTACTGAAAGAAAAATGATACATTACAACTCTAAAGAAAATCTCCAAACCTGTTCCATAATAAGGCA